GCAGGTCAACGTGATGAACTTCATGGCTGCTGCGTCTGCTATGGGCTTGAACCAACAGCAAGCTTTTCAGCTGGGCATGGCTGGCTTCGCCAATGGATCGGGAATGGGGCAGGTGAACATCAAGTACACTGGCGCTGGCGCTTATGCCGCTGGCTCTTCTCCTGGAGGCGTCACACCACTTCAACAGCCTGGGCTGCCTCCTATGATGCCGAGCACAGTAGAAGTTCCCGCTGCTTTGCCCGTGCAGGACGCTGATCGCCCTCCGTGCATGGAGCCTGCCTGGGTGACTCCAATGAGGTCCCTCCCAGCCCCGAGCAAGGCCCAAGAGGAGGCCGCCATGGGCGGCCCACCTGGCAGCCAAGAGCCGCCGTCAGCGCTTGCCGTTCTTTCAGGCGGCCTAGACAAGCACGCGAAGGTCGCAAAGGCCCCGATGCTAGCGGACGCGGCTTGCAGCGATGAAGTCGCTGCGACTGCCGTAGCCAGCAAGCTCGAGGCTGAGCACGAGCAGTTGGTCCAGAGGGCCAAGGCCAAAGCTAAGGCTGAGAGGAACGAGAAGAAAGCTGCCATGGAAGCAGCCGACACTCCCAGCGCCAAGAAGCGTCCCGCGGCTGCCAGTCCAGCACACGCGTCTGCTAAAAAAAGTTGCGAAGAAAGCTCCGAAGAATTCAGACTTCCCCGAAATGCCAAAGCATGGGTCAGTGCACGTCGGCAAGGGGAAGGTCAGCCCCAGCGCCTCAAAGGGGGGCTGGCGCGCGTGGCCTGATCGTGCTGCCGTGGGCCAGGAGAAGTGTTTTAAGTTCGGCAGCAACAAACGTGTCTCTTTTCAGACTGCCGTTGATTACATCAGGTCTTTTTAGTTTCCGGCTTGTCCCCGAGTAGCCAGCTCAGCTTACTTGCTTGAGCAGCCATGGGGTCGGCTGCATGCAAAGTCAGCTCAGGCAGCTGGCAGTCGCTAGTGCGCATGCGTGCCCTGTCGCATGTCGTAGGCACGCTCAGAACACATCAGTGCAGAATACTCCTCAGGACCACCTGTGAGGTAAAAATGTTCATGGGTTGGGGTCGCAAGGACGCCCGTCGCGTAAGGTCCGATGCATGATTGAGCACGCGTGGCTTGAACCAAATTGGCAACGGGTGGTGAGGAGGAGGAGTAGGATGAGGAGGACGGGGGAGATAGGGATGAGGATTAGAATGAGAAATATGATGATGAGAAGCACGCACGTTTTTCAAGTGAGGTTGAACAACCACCAAATGGAGTGGACTGACGAGGAATGTGATGAGGGAGAGGGTAAGAAGGAAGAGGAGGAGGAAGGTGGTGACGGGGAATAACACGCGCGTTCCTTTCAAGTCAGCTTGAAACAAATCAGATGGATGAGAAAGAGGAGGAAGAAGAGACAGAATAATAAGTGTAAGACACCCCGTTCGGATTTCCATATGGTGGTGAAACGCGTGAAACGAAGGAAGAATATACGCGTGACGAGGCCCCCCCTTCCCCAAAGAAGACAACAAACGAGAAACGGCCTCTCTCCACCCCCCTTCTCACATCCGTAGCCGCCTGGGCACAAGGCGCGTGGTATCAGTTCCTGTCTCTGCGACCGTAATGGGCGAGAGGGCGAGAAAACTTCAACGAGTAAATGCCGCTCGGTATTCGATCCCTCATGCCAGTCAATCAGCGTTTGCCTCGATGTGCGCCTTGGCCAGGAAGGGGGAACTTCCAGCCATATCAACCAGTGAGAGTGTGCGGGAAGCGAGGGACTCGTTGGCCATTCAGACGACAGAGTATGGAAAACTCATTGTTCCTCTGGACCTGATCACTGCGAAGGGGGAGCCTCTGAAGGTGGAAGTCGTGAACCCCCTCGCCTACCTCTCGCTTGCTAGTCGCAGCATTCACTTCGGAAAGCTCTTCGAGGAAACCTATTCCAGGACTTGCATTATACCTCAAAACCAAAGGGGGGGTCGGTCGAAAATACTTGTTCGCTTGCCCTCCTTCCTCTCTGTGCTCTCTTCGGCGTCTCCATCCTCAACCCCTTCGAGCTCCTACTTCTTCCTCGTTCTCATTCGTAGAACTTTGTCGAAGACGAAGACAGCCCTGCGAAACTGATTCGATGTTTCCCCTTGGAGGTCCCGAATCCCGAGCCTGATCGTGGCCAAACCAGTCGGCCTTTTTTTGTTGTTCAGATGTCGGCAAGCCCTCTTGGGCCCTCACCGAGGTTGTTTTGCTGTGGATTTATTTTGACAAGCCCTAAGCCTAAGGACCCCGTGCAGCCATCGCAACCCGTGGAGGATATTGTTGTACAACGATGAGGCGAAGCCTGGGGACCGCCTCAAGCAGCAAAACAAAAGAGCATGTCAGAATGTTTACATATCGATCCTAGAATTTGGGGCCCATGCACTTGCCAAGGAAGACTTCTGGTTTGCTGTGGGATGCGTCAGGAGTTTAGATGTTGAGGCGTGTAATCCAGGTGGGACTTCACAACTGATTGGTGGAATGCTCAAGCTCATGTTTGATCCTTCAGCTCACGATATCAGCCTTTCGGGGATCACGTTGCATCTGCCAGGAGGTAAATCATTTAAGTTGATTGCAAAAATTGGTTGCGTGCTCGGAGACGAATCGGCTCTGCATCAAATTTGGCAATGCAAAGGTTCAGCAGGAGTCAAACCGTGTTCCCAGTGTCTGAATGTAGTTAACAAGGGCTGGATGGCTTGCGGTGAATTGCAGGCACACAACACGTACATTCCATATCCTAAGGTTGATTCCCTCAAAGATTGCATCCCGCTGACAAAACCGATCCTCGAAACAATGATGGAGAAGATTGGAAGTTCCACATCCAAAGGTTTGAAGGCTGAGAGAGAGACGATGTTTGGTTGGATACACAATCCTCACAGCTTACTCCTACAGCCTCACATGAAAGACGTGATACATCCACTCGATCACAATTGTTTCGACTGGGGTCACAATTGGTTGCAGGGCGTGTTCCAGGTGACAGTGTATCAATCGTTCAGGGAGATGTACAGTTCTTACAAAAAGGTGACCGAGAATATTTACGAGTTTGTGAAACAATATACATGGCAGTGTCGAATTTCCTCTCGATCAGCGACGGGAATCGAGATGTTCAATTTGAAGCGTTCGGAATCGTCTTGGGCCGCGGAGTCGTGGAAATGTTCTTGTTCAGGAGCGCTATCCATGCATTCGGTCCTCGCCCACTACTTCAGAACAAAGGTTCCTGATTGTGCGGTTCGCGATGTGATTCTATCGATGTCCGATGTGATTGGGCTGCTTTGGTATTGTCCGAAACTGTCGGTGCCTGCCACAACAATAAATGCGAACACCGTTGCTTTCATCAAGCACTTCAAAGCAGCGTTTGGGGAGCATCTCATGATATGGAAATTTCATGGGGTATTGCACCACGCCCAGACCGTGCAAACCCTGGGGTGGAGCCCCCACACCATCACACTCGAAAGAAAACACGAGTTCGTGCTAAAATACGGTGAAGACCAGCAAGCTGATACTAGCAAGATCGTTCGTGAAATCGTTGCCAAGAGCTTGCACGACTGGAACGAAGCCAAATGGCTTGACCTCTCGATCGGTTTGAAAAGCCCTGAGCGCACAAACAAAAAATAATTGCAGCACTAGTTGAGCATTTCGGTCCTGGTGAGTATGTAACGTCTTCCAAGGCTCGTTTTTCGAAGTGGGACTCTGCTGCTTCGAAGGATTTTGTTGCCATTCGCAAAGCCGCAGGCTTTTTGGTTGCCCAGGTAATTTTCTTTGCAGAATGCCATGGGCAACTGTATGCTGCCATCCAGCCCTACAGCCTAGTGGAACAATTCCAGAAGCATAGCATCTGGAAGAAAGGTTCGCGCCCGTGCTTTTCTTTAATGTGTGATTTCGTGGATGTCCTCATCCATTCTAGGGGGCCTAGCACTGTGACTGTGCTACATACACCATCCATCGCATGAGCATGTTCTCATCCTTTTTGCTTTCGGACGGGGCCGATTGCATCGAAGCTTACCTGCGCCTGTCAAAAAAAAAACAGAAGACTCAAAGAATTGCCTCGGGGCCTCAAGGAGAGCAATGTTTGCAGACGGTCGCAAGGAGTTCCCTACCCCATCCTACTCCCCTTTGCCCTTACTATCCCCCTCCTCGACTCGACCCCTCCCCCTCGATTTCGGATCCTGCGAGTGGGCGGAGGAATGGGGATTGAGGGGGCGAGGGCGGGATTTGGTAAGGAACTCTGCCGTTTCTTCACGCGTTGCTTGTGTGATTCTGCCATGGGGAATGTCTCCCAGCCGTTGTTTGCACCCGAAGGCTTCAGAATTTTGAGCTTTGGGGATGCTGATTTCTGAATTCTGCAGGGGGCGTCAAGCGATCCGCAAGGACTTAGCTAAAGGTTTACGGGGGGCGGTAACCGTTTAGCTAAGCGTTTAGGCTAACCGTTTAGCGGTTGGCTAACCCCAAAGCTAACCGTTTAGGTAAGGCCTTACCAACTCATGGGCCTAACCACTTAGCAATGGGTTACCCAACCCATTGATAACTTGAAAGCAAGTCCTGTGCAAACTTTATAAAACCTCTACCGACTTGCAAACCGTACTAAACCACCAACCCCTCCAAGTGGGCCCTCTGTGGGGCCACACCCTGGACCACCTTGTCTTTTCTCGGGCCCGGCAGGTGCGTCGACGGGCTCGTCGCCCCCACCCACCTATGATCCCCTGAGGCAGGATTCTGGCCCCCTGGGGAGGGGGGGCAGCAGAGGGAGACGGGGGCCGCCGACTTCTCCGCTCGCCCGCTCGCCCCCTTGGCGGGGTGACTGCGGACCTCGACCCTCAAGGAGGCGCTGGCGGACAAGGAGTACCGCCGGCGGGGCGGCAGGTTCGTCTTCCCGTCGCCCCTGGACACCTTCGTCCGGGGACTGCACCGCCGCACCGCCGACCTCCACGCGGACTGGACCCGGCGCCTCGGGCGCGACGCCTCCGGCCCCGCGGCGCGCGCGGAGGCCGTGGAGGAGATGCTGCTCCGGCTGCGCTGGGACGACGCCGACGCCGGGGCGCGCGCGCGGCTGTCCGAGATCGTCGGGCGCATCTGGGACGGCCTGCAGGGCGTCGACCTGGCCGAGGCCGCGCCCATCCCGTCGGCGCTCTGGCTGGGCGCGGGCGGCGGCACCGCCCGCCGCGAGCCGCCGGGGCCGCCGGCCCCGCGCCTCGCTGCCGGCCCGGGTGCGGCTGCGGCCCCCGAAGGGAAGGCTCGGGGGCAGCGACAGGGGGGGGGAGGCATAGGGGGGGGAATACGTACAGCGCCCCCCCAATCGCCCACTGCTCGCCGATAGGGGCCCGACACCCCACGCCGCCCAGGGAGGTGTGGATGCGCTCTCGGGGGCCCATCGCCGGTCCACGGACGACGCGTCGCCGATTCCCGGTCGATTCCTCCCCCCCGTATCGTTGCCCCTCCGAGGCGGGGGAGGCCGCCGCGGCTCCCGGGCGTCGGGCCGAGGAGGCCCGGGGGCCGCCGCAGGACCGCGGGGGGGCCAAGAGTGTCCGGGCCCAGGGCGCGCCCCTCAGCTTTACGTCGGGCCTGTCCCTCCACAGGAGGCGTATCCAAACATAGTTGACCATTATGGTGTGTTTTTGTAGAATTTTAACCTAACAGCGAAGACTGATAGGTTTCTAGGTGGGTCAAAAGAGAGCATCTTGACGCTCCAGGGGGGTCTGGGCGCGATCCGGGGGAGGATGCCGGGAACTCTTTTTTTAGCCAACCGTAACGCACTTCGTGGTCTTCGAGTTCCCAGAACTCCATTCCTGGGCATGATTTTGAATGCCCGGAGCCAACTGTAGGCCACTTCATGGTCTTCGAGTTCCCAGAACTCCATTCCTGGGCATGATTTTGAATGCCCGGAGCCAACTGTAGGCCACTTCGTGTTCTTCGAGTTCCCAGAACTTTCCCGTTCCCAGGGGCCACATTTTGAATGCTGAGGCAGGCTGATGCTGCGGCTGAGGCAGGCTGAGGCTGAGGCAGGCTGAGGCTGAGGCCGAGGCTGAAGGCAGACTGAGGCTGAGGCTGAAGCAGGCTGAGGCTGAGGCTGAGGCAGGCTGAGGCTGAGGCTGAGGCAGGCTGATGCTGAGGCAGGCTGAGGCTGAGGCTGAGGCTGATGCAGGCTGAGGCTGAGGCAGGCTGAGGCTGAGGCCGAGGCTGAAGGCAGACTGAGGCTGAGGCTGAAGCAGGCTGAGGCTGAGGCTGAGGCAGGCTGAGGCTGAGGCTGAGGCTGCTGGAGGCTTGAGGAGAGGCAGGATGAGGCTGAGGCAGGCTGAGGCTGAGCAGGCTGAGGCTGAGGGTCTGAGGCTCTGATGATGCAGGCTGAGCTGAGGCGCTCGTGCAGCTCAGGTTGAGGCCGAGGATGAGGGCTGTGAGGCTGAAGCAGCTGTGGCTGAGGCGAGGCAGGCTGAGGCTGAGGCTGAGGCAGGCTGAGGCTGAGGCCGAGGCTGAGGCCGAGGCTGAAGGCAGACTGAGGCTGAGGCTGAAACAGGCTGAGGCTGAGGCTGAGGCAGGCTGAGGCTGAGGCTGAGGCAGGCTGATGCTGAGGCAGGTTGAGGCTGAGGCTGAGGCTGATGCAGGCTGAGGCTGAGGCAGGCTGAGGCTGAGGCCGAGGCTGAAGGCAGACTGAGGCTGAGGCTGAAGCAGGCTGAGGCTGAGGCAGAGGCAGGCTGAGGCTGAGGCAGGCTGATGCTGAGGCAGGCTGAGGCTGAGGCTGAGGCTGATGCAGGCTGAGGCAGAGGCAGGCTGAGGCTGAGGCCGAGGCTGAAGGCAGACTGAGGCTGAGGCTGAAGCAGGCTGAGGCTGAGGCTGAGGCAGGCTGAGGCTGAGGCTGAGGCAGGTTGAGGCTGAGGCAGGCTGAGGCTGAGGCTGAGGCTGAGGCTGAGGCTGAGGCTGAGGCAGGCTGATGCTGAGGCTTGCTGAGGCTGAGGCTGAGGCTGATGCAGGCTGAGGCTGAGGCAGGCTGAGGCTGAGGCCGAGGCTGAAGGCAGACTGAGGCTGAGGCTGAAGCAGGCTGAGGCTGAGGCTGAGGCGGGCTGAGGCTGAGGCAGGCTGAGGCTGAGGCTGAGGCAGGCTGAGGCTGAGGCAGGCTGAGGCTGAGGCTGAGGCTGATGCAGGCTGAGGCTGATGCAGGCTGAGGCTGAGGCCGAGGCTGAAGGCAGAGTGAGGCTGAGGCTGAAGCAGGCTGAGGCTGAGGCTGAGGCAGGCTGAGGCTGAGGCTGAGGCAGGCTGATGCTGAGGCAGGCTGAGGCTGAGGCTGAGGCTGATGCAGGCTGAGGCTGAGGCAGGCTGAGGCTGAGGGCCGAGGCCGACGGCAGACTGAGGCTGAGGCTGAAGCAGGCTGAGGCTGAGGCAGAGGCAGGCTGAGGCTGAGGCTGAGGCAGGCTGATGCTGAGGCAGGCTGAGGCTGAGGCTGAGGCTGATGCAGGCTGAGGCTGAGGCAGGCTGAGGCTGAGGCCGAGGCTGAAGGCAGACTGAGG